TGTTGTTGTTGTTGTTGTTGTTGTTGTTGTTGTTGTTGTTGTTGTTGTTGTTGTTGTTGTTGTTGTTGTTGTTGTTGTTGTTGTTGTTGTTGTTGTTGTTGTTGTTGTTGTTGTTGTTGTTGTTGTTGTTGTTGTTGTTGTTGTTGTTGTTGTTGTTGTTGTTGTTGTTGTTGTTGTTGTTGTTGTTGTTGTTGTTGTTGTTGTTGTTGTTGTTGTTGTTGTTGTTGTTGTTGTTGTTGTTGTTGTTGTTGTTGTTGTTGTTGCTGCTGCTGTGCTGCTGCTGCTGCTGTTGTTGTTGTTGTTGTTGTTGTTGTTGTTGTTGTTTGTTTGTTTGTTGTTGTTGTTGCTGTTGTTGTTGTTGTTGTTGTTGTTGTTGTTGTTGTTGTTGTTGTTGTTGTTGTTGTTGTTGTTGTTGTTGTTGTTGTTGTTGTTGTTGGTGTTGGTGTTGGTGTTGGTGTTGGTGTTGGTGTTGGTGTTGTTGATGTTGTTGGTGTTGTTGTTGTTGTTGTTGGTGTTGTTGTTGTTTTTGCTGCTGCTGCTGTTGCTCTTGCTGCTGCTGCTGCTGTTGCTGTTGCTGTTGTTGTGGTCGTCGTCGTCGTTGCTGTTGCTGTTGGTAGTACTCACATGTAGAGACAACGCTTTTCTGCATCGGGCCTGATGTGTGACTACGCGCAGGATCGGCGACGTAGAGGCACTCATTTTGGGGAAACTTTGGACGAGCCAAAATAAGCCGAAGGGTTTTCTGGTTGCAAGGGTGACTTGTTTGCAGGCTTTCGGCAGATTTCGGCGGTCCCTGTGTGAAAACTCACACCTCCAAACATCGCTGGAGCCTTGCCGTTGACTCGCTGCCAATAGCAAGTGCAAATTCAGATCCAGGGAACAAGTTCATCTCAAGCTTGGGTTTGGAAGCAGCAAAATTAACCCCCACGCCTTACTTCCCCCTAAAATGCCCGGGCCCAGCCCCCCCCCAAAGGAAAAAAAGCATTCGCGGGAGAATGGCGACACAGGGAAGTCCTTTTGAGCATGTGTGCATGTAGCAAAAACATGACAAGAGTGGCATACCTTTTGACATGTGTAAGGTTGTGTAAGCGCCAAGCTTTGTTTGATTCCATTTGCTTGACTTCAACTAACTTCAAAAGTAGTTGCCCTTTTGGTCCACAGGAAAAATGCATTTGGAAGCTTTGAGTCAAGTCCCTCAACATTTGGGGGGGTGGGTGATAGTCCCAGTTTACCGGAAACGTCCGGGTCTCAGCCATGGAGGAACTCGCAGATCCAGCGAGCTTGGCGCTGGGTTTGGATCTCGCAGATCCAGCCCCCGACAGGGGTTTGTTAGATTTTAGTCGCGCGCATTTGGCGCTGAGCTTGGGTCTCGCGCAGCCCTCGCCAGGTTTGCGGTGATTAGGTTTTAAGTGAAATCCGGCTCTGAAGCTGAACTAGGGAAGAAACTAACTTGGTGGACGGTCGGGCGGTTGACTGCTTGCCTCTGCAACCGTGGCCCAATTAAAGGGGTCTCAAGCCTACTATCTACATTCAGCAACAAATAATTGAGTGTTGGATCTGATAAAAACCGGCTGCCCTCATCTTTCCTCAAGTAGACAAATTGGCCAAGGTCTGGGTAAAGGTACACAGCGACCAAGCCCATGAAATTGAAATATTTCTTTTTGCTGGTCCCCCCCCCCAGATTCCAAGCCAAAAGGGGGGTATCTTTCGGGAAGCTGTTCACACTGTGTGTGTGTGTGTGTCTGTGCGTGTGCCGGTGTGTGTGTGTGTGCAGCGTGTCTGTGCGTCTGTGTGTCTGTGTGTGTGTCTGTGTATCTGTGTGTTTGTGTCTGCGTGTGCGTCCGTGTGTGAGTGTGTCCATGTCTGCGTGTGTGCCTCTGTGTGTGTGTGTGTGTATGTCCATGTCTCTGTGTGTGCATCGGTGTGTGTGTGTGTCTGTGTGTCCGTGCGTGTGTCTGTGTCTGTGTCTCTATGTTTGTGTGTGTATGGGTGTGTCTGTGTGTGTGTGGCTGTGTCTGTGTTTGTTTGCTGCGCCTCTGTCTGTATGTGTCTATGCGCGTTGACGTGCTGAAGGTATATCCTTTCTTGTTTGAGGTATTTACATACAGGGGAAACAAAAAGGGAAACCGCCAGTTTTGCAGGGCGGGCGTTGAACAAACTGCAAATGGGCCATCCTCTTCGATGGTGGTGCAAGTGCGTGGGGAGACCCCAAAGAAGTGGTGGGCGTTCAAGCCGAAGCGGGGGTTCTGAAACAAACACAGACACGAATGGGACGGCCCCTACTCGCAAACTTTCTGATGCCCAAGCAAACTCCACATATTTTGTTTGCCACCAAAACAGTGATTTTCAACACAAGTACAACGTCCAGGATCTCAGGGACTTTCCTGGGTTTACAGTTTTCAACAATCACATGAGACCCCCCCCCCTCTATGCGAGTTTTGCTCCAGCCACAGGTCCGGAAAACGGTTTGTCGCAGTTCGTCAAGTCCCTTGTGCGCTACCCTTGTGATACTTTAAAAGGCACAAAGGGAACCAAATCTTGCAACCAACCCTGGTCACCATCGCCGAGGTGTTTCGACCATGGCACAGGTGGCTACCAGCAAAAGCTGGTTAAACAATCCACAGGGAGTCCCCAAAACAAAGGAGGTTGTTGAAGCAAATCATCGATTTAACGTTTTAAGCATGACTTAATCAAAGGGTTGGGCAAACAACCTCGCGCAGTAGCCTCTTTCGTATGTAACCTATTCCATGTTCCTTTTAGCTTTAGCACGGGAAGTCCCTTAGTCGTTGGGCAAAAATGGAATCATTGGCAATGATGCACAAGCTCCTCGCAAGGATTGGCCCAACACTCATGCCTCCCCCCAAACAAAAGCAAAGGGAAATGTTGCCCCCATATCTATCAACCCCAGTTTTAATAGCAGAAACGGCGGCTATGAGGGTATTCATATTATGTAATATGGAGATGCGCTGTTTGGTTTGCATTCCTTTCCATGAAGGATTCTCACGGAAAGCTTTGCTGAAATCCTTTCTTCAGAGCTTCCCTCAGCACTTGTAGCTTTGCACTCAGCTCTTCAAGGGGAAGGGGGGGGGGAACATTTTCAAAATTGAAATTGCATTCGTTTAGTTTTCCCCCCCCCTCCCCACCTCCAGACCCCCCCATACTCAGCCCAGGATCACTGGGACCCCAATATGTAGGCTAGGATTTGGATCTCCTTTTCGTTTGTGCTCCCCCTACTTGTCCCTAACTCGTATCTGCAAAGCTCCAGCAGTTGCATGGAACTTGCTTGAAGTTGCATGTGATGTTGAATTCAACGGGTCACTTATGAATAGAGCTATGCAGCTTAGTAGCTCATACGCTTAGGTAGCATTTGCAGCTTGAGCATTTGCATGAATAGCACCATAGTGGCCTGTCTCAGGTGATGATGCAGGATTATAAGTGTTTGCTAGAAGCAGGGTTAGCTTTGATAATCTCTGCAACGAGCACCGACATTGATTGCTGCTTTGCCTTCACCTTTTATCAACTCCTGTGGCAACAATAGGAGTTCTAAAACAACATATTCTATGCATTTTGCTTGTGGGCCCATTTGCGAGATTCTCACGGCTTGTCTTGTGCATCACTCTCCCTATGGACATTGAGTTGGCTAGCAGGATAGGATATATTCGTGTACGCGGCTTTGACATACAGCTACATGTGTCATGGGTTAGGCCAATGTGCAGCAGCGTCATCAAGCTGCGAGTTTGCTATTGGTCAGACATGGATAACTCGGTTCAGTGAGACCAGTGTTCAATCAAAAAGTCTTGTGTGTGTGTGTGCTCATGTAGTGCAAAGCATTTTTGTGTTCCCTGGTTTCGTTTTTTTTGTTGAACATAAGTTGTTTGTTGACCATAACAAATCTACTTATCAGAAATTGTGCTGATGGTGGAGGGTGCAAGTAGAATAAGTTATTCTGTTTTCCCTTACCATGCCAGCTATTGCATGCCAACGGTGAGCATAGGAGCTAGAGAACCTATCCCTGATGATGTAGTTGCCCATTTGCAATTGGTCTGCTCTGCTCCGTACTCACATTTCTTGACCTGGCAAAATGACTAGTGATCTGCAGGTAACTCAGCATATCAAGAAAGGAGGGCATGGGCTACCAGCAACCCATGGCCAAAGGTTCAATCCTCAAGGTAGCAGCTTGGGATTGCCTATGCTCAGTCCATGTTTCTCACAAGGAAGTGGGGGGTCCTCACCACATCTTGCAGTCTCGGACTTCATTCCAGCAACTTGTTGTGAGCCGCAGGCATGCGGTTGCTGGAAATGTCCAAGATTCTGGTTCCAGCAAATTTCAAATGTTTTCTGATGATCCAGGAAGAGTTAGAAATAGTGACCTATGGTTGGTGGAATCACTTAAGCTGAGATAGTGGTACCCATCAAGATCAGTCAACCAGGGGTGGAGCCGCCCATCCGACTAGCCTGTGAACTGCTCTCCCAACTTTAATCTATCTGCTGGCAGTCAAAACTTGGAAAGGCAGGTTGACAAGCCATGGTTCAAAGTTCAGGCATGACTGACACGCTTAATTCCTGATTCAGGTCTTGTTGGCCACTGCACCTTTTAACATTTGAAGAATGGTGCCTGGAAGAGTTCTTGTAGTCAGCCCGTAGAATTTGCTGCATCGAGGTCAAGCATCCTCTGAACAAAAAAGGCGCCTTCAGTTAGGTCATACACATGCACACCATCGTTCTCTAGAAGGTCAAAAACTCGAAAAAAGAAAAAACACTTTAAAAAGCAGCAAAACCAGGGGCCCTCATAGCCGCCCACCCTCTTTAATAGGGGTATGTTTTCTGAAATTGGTGGGGAATCAGACCACTTTTCGAGGGCTACTTTCAAGTTCTGCCGGATTGTTGCTCACATCCTTTTGAACCCAACCCACAAAAACATCCGGGTCCCCCCCCAAGGACTCCGGATTTTGGGCCTGCACGCATGCACCAAAAAATACCAGGTGCCCGAAAAGGCGCGCCTCCAGGGAAATGAGCCTCGAGATGTTCTTGGAGATTAGGTCCCCTTGATGTACCCAGGGCGTCCAGAGACTCATCTCGGCCGCCCAAAGTCTTTGAACTTTGTGCTGGGACTCTCTAAGCCTGAAGCGACAAGGTGCTTCCCAACGCACTTCCGAGAAAGCTTGATTGGGTGGGTTTGGGTTGGATTTGATGTGGGGGGATCTGGATTTGGGGGGATTTGGGGGCATTCGGGGATTTGAGTCTTGCAAATGTTCGACTAACGCTGAATTAAGGGATCAAGTCCCAAATGCATGAACGGATACCATCGAGGTTCACGGCATGAACGAATCCCAATCAGGCTTGCAACTAAGGGATCGATTTCACTATAATGTTCACCCCGGATTTATAAACCCCTGGTTGATTAATATGGGGGTGTCCCCGTTTAGTGGTTGGATTCATCGCTTTTGGAGAGCACACACACCCCCCAAAAAAATGGGACGGGTTTATTCATCCCGGGTCGACCTTACTTCAAAAAGCTGAATGAGTTGGATCCCCAGGTCTCGGGGTACGCTCGTACCCTTTGCTCTAAAATAGGCAGATTGGATGTGAAGAGACGCGATTTGGGCGGAACCGGAAACGGAACCAGAGATGGATGGGGATGGAAGGAAGTGAAGGAAGGCTGGCTGAAGGACAAGATGGATGGGTTCAAAGGTCTCGATTGTCCAGCAGCTGGAACCACAGGCGCCTTTTCGGACAAGATGGCTCTGGTACATGTGTGTTGAACACCAAGTTGAAACCAGTGCCATCTATGAACCAAACTCATCTAAGAACACCTATGGCTGGAACACCTCCTCGGCTTCCCTTGAGCGGATGGACTGGAGGCCAAGGCAAGCCACTTGGTAGGTACCCAGCAACATCCGTCCCCGGACCTAACAAATCCCCAAAGGCTTGCCTTTCAACTTTCCCGACCGCAAAACACTGCAGTTGGAGCACCGGGCGAATCACTAGCCCATGCTCCAAAATACCTGCTTTGGAGAGGGTTTCTGTTGAAGAATCTGGGCTTCCCATGGATGAAATTACATCCTTGTTTAGGCAAGGCCTGACATCATGCCCTATCATAGCCTGAAACAAGTGGGTGTTGGGTGTGAGAGCTAAACCTAACACTTGTAGGGCGAACATGTTTGGCGAAGGCCAAACATTTACATTATGGAAGACCACTGGTAAAAGGAACTCCCACGTCCATGCTATGTGGAAGGCAAATTAGTACATAAAAAGGGACAAAACGGGTGTGTCAGACCCCTAAAAAACCAGGCCCCCCAAATGGTTCCCTGGTATCACGGAAGTATCATAGAAGCGCTTCTCCTTTTTTCACTTGAGTGGAGCCAAAACATGTCCATCAAATGACATTCTCAACAACAAACCCTCCCAATGGGCTGTTTATTCAGGGAAACCACCTCAACTTCGAACCACTTTCAGGGAGAGGGACTGGGTTCAGCTTGCTTTCCCTTACCAATCTGAAAATGGCACCCTGAAGTTTGTTTTCACGGACAGTGGTCCACCTTCAACCCTCAATCCTAGGATAAAAAGAACAAAATCCTGTGTTCGTCATTTCAGCCAAGGGCGAAACATTGAGATGGTCCCAAACATGGACCAAGAACACATAAACTGCATGGAACCCCCCTGTTGTGTTTTCAACCGCTGAAGGCCACGGGGCCTCTGAGTTTCAGTAAAATGATGTACGGATGCTCCGAATCAAGCAGCTTTCGGGAAGGGTTCTGGAGGGAGGGTCCCGAGTTCTCAGGGTTCGGGGACCCCGGCCGGGGTGGGTGTTTCTGAGTTTCTTTTTTTGCGGAGCCGCGTGTAGGAGTAGGTGCCCCCAGACATGAAGCAGCAGGCGCGCGCGATGTAGCCGGCCACGAAAACCACATCTCCGTCTGCCAGCACCGAGTGGGACATCCTGACACAACATGCTCTGGGTGGTTGCGAAATCTGTTTCGCACGTCAGAAACCCTGGCGTGTAAATACCAACAAACTATGGCTTCCGGTGGTTTCAAAGTGGTAAAAGATGGATTTCGCAACCATCCACTGCAATGTTAGACTCCCAATTGGAGTAGTACCCCCTATTATAGAAAGTTGTTCCTAATTCAGGATCCCGTGACTGTTTTGGGGGTCCTCTGTTGTGGAAAGTTTGTTTGCCGGAAAAGACGCTGGAAAGAATATGGGCCAAAGAAGCTTGGCAAACAAGTCGGGCAAGAAAAACGGACAAACAAATCTGGGCAAACTTAATAGGAACTCCTTTTCTTGGCGGTCCCCAAACCGTCAAATTTAAGATAACTTATTTACAAAAACAGTACGGGCAAACAGTAACACAAATGGGGTTGCCCACACTAGGCCCTGATCCTCTTCAATGTATTGTTTTGGGGTCCTCTTTGGTGTCCAACTCTTTTTTGGGTCGCTGAAAAAACGGTCCTTGGCAATACTAAAGTAGAATTGGCGATGCTAAAGTAAATACTGAGAATCTGACAGTCAGCCTTGGCAAGAGTCAGCCTTGGCAACACTAAAGTAGAAGTGGCAGTGCTCACACAAGCACTGGGAATCTGAGAGTCTTGGCAATACTAAAGTAGAAACGCAAGTACTGTGAATCTGAGAGTTACTTGGCAATACGAAGGTAGACTTGGCGACACTAAAGTGTCTGAGGATCAACCTTGGCCTGCAGACCCCCAGGATTTTCTGCAAAGAGGGTCCAGCTGACTGGTTCCACTGTTCCAGGGGCCCGGCAAAGAGGGTCCAACAATATTTCTGCAAACTTGACTGAACCGTATCAGCTTACCTCTTGCAATTTGACAGGGCAAATGGAGGAGCACTCAAAAGACCAAGCCTGAGTTGCCGAGGAGCACTCAAAAGACAAATCCCTGAACATAGGGGACAAATACAAAGTTGAGTAGAGTCTGCGTCAGGATCCCCGGTCAGGTGTTTCCTTTGTTTCCAAACCACCACATGTTTTTTTTCTCAAGTTCTAGGGATGCGTAAGAAATTCGCCACCATCGGCAGAATCTCTCAACCCCGCACTTTGTCATCTCGTTTGCCGTAGATGTAGATCCCACTAAAGTTTCCCCAAAGAACATGTTCTTCCCTACCTGGGTCTCAAGAGGGGGCCCAAGACATTGGCCTTGTTTTGGTCACCCATTGATTAACCACAGGATTCCTTTGGTTTCCCAAATAAAATAATTAAACGGTTTCCCGAAAAACAAACCCAAAAAACAAAACAAAAACGAATCCCACTCCCTCACCCACACACCCCAAAAAAAGAAAGACACACATACACAAACAGAGGCACACACACACAGACCCCGACCTAGCGAACTAATCTTGGTTGCTGTTGACCCCCCTGCAAAAAGTTTAACCTCTTGGGGCTTTAGTGGAAAACGCCGAAATATGTTCCAAACAGTTAAAGTCTAAAGACGTTATTTCCCATATGATTCCCAAAAAGTCTAAAGAGACCTTTATGATTCCAAACGCCTTTATATTCCAACCAAATAGCAATCAAGCAATTGTCTCCACGCCAGGCATCGACGCGGCCACGGCCCTCAGCACCCGCACGATGTGGGAGCTGTCGTGTTGCAGCAGCTGCTTGAGAAAGGGCAAGTGCTCCATGCAGTCCTCTCCAAGACTAAGAATAATTCTAGTAGGAATAGATTCCCTTTAAAACCAACAGGGGAAAAAAGAAGAAGAGAAAAACAACTTCTTAACCAAATGGAAGCTGGGTTTGAGGTTGCAAAAAGCTGTACACTCATAGGTGTCCTTTTAGGGGAAATAGATGGGTTTCCCTGGTAGAGGATCAAACCACCAGGTAAGCCAGGAATCGCCATCTATGTTTCGCCCAAAACAACCAAAAAGGACACCTGTGCCAAAGGACCCCCGCATGCCGGGGGGGGGGGGGGGCGGGATGGTGTTTTTTGAGGCTCAGTAGTCTTCTTCTCGCAGACTAAAAGGGGCCGTGTTTGAAAGAAAACCCACGAATCTGTGATACGACAAAGGGGCCCCTCCTCCAAACAGCATAACCTCATTTTTTATTGGGGGTCCGCGGAAAAAAAGGCTTCTCAAAATACGGGGCACCCTGGAATGGCTGGTTTTGTTTTGGTGTTCTTGGACATACCCTCCCAAAGGGGGTCAACCAAAGAGTACCCTTTGCGGTTTCATATTTACAGGGAAACCCAAAGGAACCCCTCGTAGGTTGACAGATGCCCAAAATAAAACTCTTGCTGGGCCACTTTGAACCGTGTGGAGATAGGTAATTGCTGGTGTGTCTTTGTTTGAGTTGGTACCCCTGAAACCCGAAAGGGAACCCACCATTTGTTTGTTGTTTGTTTTGCTTTTTGTGTCTGCTTTTTTTATTGGGGGGCCTAAAAAACGCACTTTTGAGGCTCGGTGTCCTTTGGGTTGAAGAAAAACCAAAGAAAACCACCACTTGCTGTCCCCCGCCCCCCTGTTCAGTAGAACGACCAGTTCTTGTGCTACCCCGGTTCTGTGGTGTTTGAAGGAAAACCAGGGACCACAAATTGCGAGACTTGTAATTGTGGCATTTCTCAAATGGTGAAGTGTGGGTTGTGTTTAACGGGAGACCAACAGGTCTCCAATCAATTCCCCCTTTGAGAAGCAAAGACCGAGACCAAGAACTTAAGAAGCAAACTCTGCAAATAACCTTTGCAAGAAAGACAAGTGTTTGATGGCCAAAAGAAGCCCAAAAGCGCAAAAGGGCAAACAGGTGCGTTGAGTCTAGCAAGGGCCCTGAGGGCAAGTGTAATGTGGTCGAATTACTTCGGGTTGAGTCCCCTTCAAATTCAACCACCCGCTGCTCAGGGTGGAACCATACTCAGGCGCAGTCCTCTTGCTGAGATCGCCATAATTTGCCGAAATTTACTACTGTGGATGGACGACATCCATTTCGCACCACTTGGAAACCATTGGAAACCATTTGGAATTTACAGGGGAAACATCATTCCAGGGAGTCTTAGGTGGTGCGAAATGGATTTCGTCCATCCACAGTAGCACCCAAAGCCCATCGACTTTTGCTTCTGTGCAGGAATCAGTGTAGTTATAAAGGTTCATAGATAGCCCTTACTATTCCCATGTAGAAACCGAGTCTGCTGAAATGGCCGTTTTGGAATCGGTGTTGGGCGTTGCTCACTTGTTTCTTGGATGTTCACCACGAAACCCAGCCCAAAACCATACCCTTTCGACCAAGGAGTGCTCCCTTAAAAACCCGATCGCAGTACTTGGATGTTTGGTCAAGTTTGCAAGTGGTTAGCCACCTGGGGTATAACCTACTTACGACTGAGTTGGGCTGGTTGTAAGTGGGTTATGCATCCAAGTAGACACACCTTTCCGGCAAAAAACAAATCCATTGGAAAAACTATTTAGGTGCAATCTTCTCTTGGCTCTCATCCGGAGTACTGCGAGAAAAACATATTTGACTCCACTCCATATTTGTCTCAAACTAGGAATCGTACCCCCGCCCTCATTTTGGCTTCTCTGGCGCTCCTCTTGGGGGGTGGGGGTTGCCTCATCCTCCTTTGGACAAAATCTTGCACCACCCCAGAAACCCTAGACTAAAAACCAACAAACCTTATGTGTTCCTAGGCTTCAACTTGGTGCGAAATGGATCTCGCGCAACCATCCACTCGATTTCATTTCGATTCGACTGTTGAACAAAACCCTGAGAGCAGTCGCTCTCAGATCCCCTGCTCTAAGTGGCTAGTTTTTCGTGGGTAAAGTTTGGAAACTACCACTGAAGCAACCAAGAAACAACTAAACAGCTAAGTTGAACCGGACGATTTGCTGGTTGAGCCACCCCGCTGAGTCTATAGTCGAAACCATGTTGGATCCCGGTTGGATTGGGATGTTCACTGGGGGTACGCGGTTTCCTTGGTTGACGTTGTAAGGGGAGCAGAAGTTTAAATTTTAGCATTTAAGTGGGGATGGTCCACTAAACCACAAAAATGCAAAAATGGGAAACATGCTTCCCAACAACAACCACGTTTTGACCCGTGGCCATATTTCTATCGCTTCGAGCGGCGCGCAAAATCCGTGGGCCTTGTGCCTCTGAAGCTCAAGCTCCGCTTGCAAAGGCTTCGAAAGCATATTCCACATGGGCAGAGGGCCTTCGAGACGCCGACGAGAAGTGTGAAACAAAAACTGGGCCGGGCATCTGTTTTTGGTTTTTTTTTCTTTTGGGGGGGGGGGCTAGAAAACGGAGATGGCTTCTCCGTTCTTCTTTCTTTCCGGCATCCCAAGCAACCACTGCTTCTTGGGCAGTACTCAGTACTTGGGATTTCGGACATGGGAAATAGCAGTTGTTGGGGGCTGGCTGGTAGAACAACGATCACAGTTTCATTTGTTCTTGGGGTAGACATTGTTCGCCAAGTCGGGAAGCCATGAGAAAAAGATGATGGGGGTCAGTCCGTTCCGTGTGAAAAAAAACAACGAGTTCTGAGAGATCTGAACGTTGATGGGGCGCCGACGGCGAGAACCACCGGGCTTTGCTGAGGGGGTACGACCCCCATGCCCGCTGTGACTCTTTTCCGGGCCCTCTAACCAGGGCTGCCCATCCGCAAAAATCCCGGACCTACTGTGGATTTCCATGTTTTCAATTGTTTTTTTGCGGCTGAATGGAAAGCTGCCCCCCCTCCCCCCGGTTTTAGCTGTCATAAAACAAGTTGGACCAAGTTCGGATGCCAACCTGCACCTTCAAAATTCCAATGAAAAAAGGTTGTTGCCCCAACAGTAGGGGGTGAATACCCGGCACCTTCAAAATTATCGCAAAAAATGGGTTGTTGCCCCAACAGTCTGGGGTGAATACCCTTTTTATGGCTAGTTTGAGGGTCCAGGAACTTTATTCATGGTAGACCTTGCCAAAAACGCAAGTAGAGAGGACTTTCATGGGTGAGCTGGTGCTTACCCCCGCTCGTGATCATTTCTCCAGATGAAAATGCTGAAACGGTTTAGGCCTATCCCGGAGCTGAGCAGTAGACATCCATACCAAAATGCCAAAAGCTGCTTTTGTTGAATGTGAATGTTCAAATGCAATGTCAGCCTCCGCAAAGGAAAGTTGATGGAAACTTAGAGACGCCCTCCCCAAATCAGAAATCCAACAGTTGATTCCTCCACAATTTGCTAGTGGTAGCCCGTTGCACAAGTGGCAGCTTTGAGGAGGATAAACACCATTCCTTGCAAACAAGTCGTGTAAACAACCGCCTTTCCGCTTCCCTTTCAGTGGGACCAGGGGGGGAGTAAACAAGTGAGTCACAATCAAAACCTGGTACAAAAATGGTGAACCCAGAACCATGTAAAGAATTAGAAAGGCGGCCGAAACTATTTCCGGCTGGGTCTTTCCCTTACTAACCTTCATCTACTCAGGTTTTGATTGTGGCTCAAGTGTGCCAGTAGAAACGCAAACCATTGCGCAACAAAGCCTAACTTGTCCAACATATTCCATTCTCACTTTGCAAGGGTGATATGTGCATGGTCAAACCCCTTTTGCAGGAGAGCCTCACAAAAACACACACACACACACACACACACACACACACACACACACACACACACACACACACACACACACACACACACACACACACACACACACACACACACACACACACACACACACACACACACACACACACACACACACACACACACACACACACACACACACACACACACACACACACACACACACACACACACACACACACACACACACACACACACACACACACACACACACAACACACAAACACACAAACACACAACACACACACAAACACACAAACACACAAACACACAAACACACAAACACACAAACACACAAACACACAAACACACAAACACACAAACACACAAACACACAAACACACAAACACACAAACACACAAACACACAAACACACAAACACAAACACACAAACACACAAACACACAAACACACAAACACACAAACACACAAACACACAAACACACAAACACACAAACACACAAACACACAAACACACACACACACACCCACACACACACACACCACACACACCACACACACACACACAACTAAGTATGAACGTGTTGAACAAATGCACCAAAATGGCACCTCCATAAATGGAACGAAACCATGGGGACACCTTTTGTTTGTTGATCGTGACAGGCGAATCATCATTCCAGGGCTTTTTAAGTGCTGCAGGTGTTCGTCCATCCGCAGTATGAATGGGACATAAAGATAAAGAAACATGAAACATCGACTTCTCGCTTTTTGAATGGATGGCCCAACAAAAAAGTCAGAACTTGTGATTTACCACTAAAATGGTTTTCCCAAAAAGCTTTTAAAGTCCATGAACTCGGGAAGTGAGATTTCCAATTGAAGCATTTCTATAATCATCCAGCAATCGAATTGGAAGCTTCATTATGTAGAAATGAGCGACTGTGGGAAATACACATCCTGATAAGACAGAAATACATAGACGTATATTTTCCCATGAGATTTCATTGGAACATAATATTACAATGGCGATACTTCAAGAGTCACCTTGCCCCACTTGCAGACGCTGAAAACCCTAGCAGGGTAGAAAACTGGCCAATGGAAAGGAATGAAGGTAAACCTCTCCAATCTCCGCTTGGGAGGTGCATGGCGTTCCTCTTGGGCTGGCGGATACATGGAGCTACATGATTCACCTGAATAACATGGAGCATAGGTATCCAATTTGGTCTGTCTGGCTGATGATAGGTGGCAGGCTGAGTGTGGTTTCAATCATTTACCAGTACCATTATTATTTTCTAAAAAGATGCCTATAAAATACAGTGGATGGACGAAATCCATTTCGCACCTTTCAGAAACCCTGATTTCTGATCATTCCCCTGTAAATAACAAAACAAACCATGGCTTCATTCCTCTGGTTTCAAAGTGGTGCGAAGTATGGCGTTCGCAACCATCCACGAAGTATGGCGGTACTCTCCGAATGACTTTTCTGGGGTGGAGGGCTTAAACAATTTTGGGAGTGCCACTTCAATCTGCCCGGCAGCCATGTTCGAAGCCCATTGCCGCCAACCACAGGGATCCTTACATTTTTCACCTGAACATTGCAACTTGTCAATGGTGGTTTCCCTTCATTTTGATGGAGAAAGCCATGTTTCAAATGCGCAAATGGAGATCTTTTAAGGAGCCCTGAACCACTTCAAGCGATTGGTTTTCTGGGGCTAGTTTGCAACCCCGTTCCAAGAAAACGCCGATTTCGACCGCCCAAGATGGTGCGGGTTTTCCCTTTAGGTTTTCCTTTTGACCAAGATGAACCACGGGTACCCTCAAAAACTACAGCCATTCTGTTGCCCCTGAAAGACCCAGAAATGAAAGGTGGGTCGGGTCGCCTTTTGGGGTGCAAAAAGTGGAAACTAAAAGGTCAAAAGAACTCCCGCCCGCCCCAAACAAGAAAAGCAAAGAACAAATGGTTGTCCTTTTGGTTTCCGCTTAAAGCCACAAAACAAAGGTACCAACTTCAACAAAAGACAGACCCAAACGGAGGAATATAGACCAAAAGGCCAAACAACTGAATGTTCCTTTTCTAGGTCCTCCAGTAGAGAGGTTAGAATAAGGGTACCCTTTCTTCTGTAGTCTATTTTAGTAGGGGACCCTCCCAACCAAAAAAGGGGTAAGAAAGGGCACCTAGATGGGGGACCTAGTTTTGGTTTCCGTTAAACACACGAAAACTACGGCTTCCAACTCATCTCTACTCTTGGTATGGTAGCAAACAACTGACTGTTGTTTGCAGACCCCCCAGTAAAAATGAACAGAACCAAAAAACCAAAAAACCAAAACAACCGGACAAACAAAAAAACAACGAACAACAAAAAAGGGGAAAAACAAAACGAAACAAAAACAAAAAAAACTGCCAAGAACAGTGAAGAACTCCTAAAAACCACGGCTTCGAACTTGGGGCCATCGGCCTTCCGCGGACTTGGCGTCCGTCTTCGCCTTGAAGGTGCGTTGCCTAAAATCGATCCGTCGGACGGGGCTCGGTCCCGGGCGATTGGTCTACGACGGGGGGTTGGGTGTGTCTCTTTTTGCCTTTCTCCCTGGTCTTTGGTCTATCCCCTGCTCTTTGTTCTTTCTCGTGTTGCCCCTTTTCCCTGGTCTTTGGTCTATCCCCTGCTCTTTGTTCTTTCTCGTGTTGCCCCTTTTCCCTGGTCTTTGGTCTATCCCCTGCTCTTTGTTCTTTCTCGTGTTGCCCCTTTTCCCTGGTCTTTGGTCTATCCCCTGCTCTTTGTTCTTTCTCGTGTTGCCCCTTTTCCCTGGTCTTTGGTCTATCCCCTGCTCTTTGTTCTTTCTCGTGTTGCCCCTTTTCCCTGGTCTTTGGTCTATCCCCTGCTCTTTGTTCTTTCTCGTGTTGCCCCTTTTCCCTGGTCTTTGGTCTATCCCCTGCTCTTTGTTCTTTCTCGTGTTGCCCCTTTTCCCTGGTCTTTGGTCTATCCCCTGCTCTTTGTTCTTTCTCGTGTTGCCCCTTTTCCCTGGTCTTTGGTCTATCCCCTGCTCTTTGTTCTTTCTCGTGTTGCCCCTTTTCCCTGGTCTTTGGTCTATCCCCTGCTCTTTGTTCTTTCTCGTGTTGCCCCTTTTCCCTGGTCTTTGGTCTATCCCCTGCTCTTTGTTTTTTCTCTCGTTGTTTTTTGTTTTGTTTGCTTTTCTTCTGGCCCGTGTGGACATCATTGACATGGGGCCTCATGTCCAACAGGTCAGGAGAACCCCCCCCCCCTCATGTTCAACTCGTGGAATTGGCCGGGTTTCAGGCACATTTCTTGGGCCCAGGACCCGTGGAGGTTTCAGAGACGTAACAAGGAGTCGACCCTCAAAAACAGGGTTGACGTTGGGTTTGTGGAGCAAAACATTTTCAGACTTTAGCACTTAAGTAAATTTGGATTTCAACCACTAGACCACAATAAAGCAAACATGGGAAAAATGTTTCCCAACAACAACCATGAAAAGATTTGGAGGATTCCCCGGCTTAGACATATCTTCCTTCTCCGGATCAGTCTCTCTGTGTCGCTTTTTTGTCTTGCACGAGATTCAGAGAAAAGCAGGAGCGAGATGATGAGCCAACTCCAGGGGTAGTCCTCCGAGAAAGACGGCAAAGCACAAGAGCTTTTGGTGTTTTCGGATGATATATTCTCCTGAAATTCTGTGTTTTCTGATTTTGAAGGAGCGTGATAGATGCTGTTCTAGGAATTTTGGCTGTGCATTTTGCTGAGTCAGCTCTGAATCAATTCGAGGCCTCTGAATCGATTCGAGGCTCTGTGGTTGAAATTGAATCCACTTCTGTGATACAACAAAAAGAGCTTCCCAAAGACTGACTCCCAGATAAAGGAGAAATTCCCTGCTGTCACAGAAGTGGGGATAAACCCTTGATCCCACAACCCTGGTTCACCAACAAACCTTATGGTTTAAGCCGTAGTTTCATTTCGTGGTGCAGTGTCGGATTTCGCAACCATCCACAGTATTGGAAGAAAGGAAAAGCAATAGTCTCCGACCATGAATTAAAACTTGCCTGTAAAAGACGCAGGTACTAGGCTTTCTGAAAAGCCTGGCTTGCCATGGTCAATCAATTTCTCTGTGCGTCAGGGCTTCACATCTTCAGAAACCGCTTCTCGGTCCTCCAGTAGAGAGGTTAGAATCAGGGTACCCTTTTTTCTGTAGTCAGTTTTAGTAGGGGAACCCTCCCCCAAAAAGTTTGCAAAAGAGCAGTACTGGGGACCTAGTTTCTCTGTTCGTCAAGGCTTTCGGTCTCTGGCTTCTTCGCCCGGCGCGAAGGAGCGATCTCTGAGCACCGCGGCAGGAAGCCGGTGATGCGCTGGGCGAGGTCCGTGTCGATGCTGTTCTGGGCGAAGAACCGCTTCAGCGCCCTGGCTCCGGTTTCGAACGCGGGGCTCTGCGGCGTGCTTCGGCTTTTCGGACGAAAAAGCGACACCTGGACCCTCAAAAAACCCCTAAGTCCTCCAGTAGAGAGCTTAGAATATGGGTACCCTTTTTCCTGTTGTCTATTTTAGTAGGGGAACCCACCTGAGCACCCCCTGGTTTCGGATTCGGATCCCCAACGTACAAACCTTGTGGTTTCAACCATGGCTTCAGTTCGTGGTGCGGTGCGAATGGATTTCGCCACCATCCTCAGTACGATTGCAAGGGAAGCCAACCAACCCGAAGTATGTTGAGATCTTCACTTTCAGGGCCGCTGGATCTTCGGATTTTTCGAAACGACCAGTTTGGCATACCTAGAGTTTCCATGACCCTTTAAGAACGGGTGAATGACCCCTTAGTTTTCGGTACTGACCAACCATTTTTTAAGGGTCGTGGAGACTCCAGGTAGCCCTTATGCACGTCCCTCAAACTGCCCTTAGATGCCCGGGCTCATTCACTCCAAATGTTTGGGGCCCTCCCGATGAACATGAAACCGGGGCGACTGTCGGTGGGTTTTCCTGCACCGAATTGTAAGGACCCCGGGGTGAGGTTCCGTTGGTGGGAAGGTATATGGAATCCAAATACCCGGGGTTTCCCCGTTGCGGTTGATCTCTTCGAAAAACCCAAACTTCTGCCTGGCAAATGCCGTCTTTGTTGGTCAAGGGTCGACATATGTCCACATCATGCCCCGAAAAAGAAAGGTGCGTACTTGGAGTAGGTACAGCGGGCCCAAACACTTCAACGAGGAAATCAAAAGGGACGCACGACGCATACCCTCCGATCATGGAAGCTCGGAGCGGGGGCTTCGGGAACCCCAAACGGTTCACTTCCGTCGCTGCAAGGAGGGCACCCCCAAAAAAGCTTGGCAAGCCCATATTTGCTTGGTTGACGCTGGGTTTGGGGAGCAAAAAGTGGTTGGAGTTCCACCACTCAACCACGACAAGCAAACATGTAACATGCTTCCCAACCAGAAAAATATTTGAAGCATCGCCTGTCCAAGGTCCAAAGGCTCCTTACAGAGATTTAGCCTTTAGGTGCAAGAGGTGCTGGGCTGAAACCACGAAAACACATCACAGGAAACTGACGCGGCCCGAAATGGAGAAAAGCTGATGCTTGAAGAACAGCTCCCTGGAGTCGCGAGGACCCACACCCATTTTAGGCACCTGGACTCATGTCAGTAGCAAGGCCAGTATAACAGAAATCATACTGTGGATGGACGAAATTCTGCACCACCTAAGACACCCTGGAATGACGATTTGCCTGTAAATACCAACAATCAATGGTTTCCCATAGTGTCAAAGTGGCGCAGGATTTTGTCCATCCACAGTAGGATCTCCTCTTCCAAAGTTGAGAACTTTCGTCTGGTTTCCGGTGTCCATTGAAACGTGAAAAAAAAAAAAAACATGCCACGTTTGGAGGTTCCGGGGCACATGGCTCGAAAGCCCTCCCCCCGCTAAAACCAAAATCTCGGGAGCCCTGCCGAACTGTCCCAAGCCCTCAGCGTCCAGATTTTGAGGCCTTTGAGCCTTGCGGGCCATTGATTCCATAAGCTCTGGAACTCATCTTCCGTGTTCTGACGTCGACGCAAAAACCCAGCAGTTTCCCTTTTGGGAAATCAACCACTTCTGGGGTTTAAGTGGACTTTGGGGGAGTGAAAAAACGGAACCCTGCATCTAGCTGTCCGACTTCTGTTCAGGGAGCCTTCTCTAAACCCAGGGATATGGTGGATTCCTGAGCAGGAGGATTGGTGAAGAGAATGGAATTGGAATCAGCCCCTGAATGTGCCATGAACCATCCCGAAGGTTACCTTCAGCATCTTCAAACGGCTTCAACCAAAACCCTGATTCCCTGAGCAAGATGGCGATTCCCTTTTTCCCGGGTGTTTAAAAAGAAACCAAAATGGAATCCAATTGGAAACCAAATGGAAACCAACAGGAAGCCAACAGGAAACCAACATCTATCTACAGCCCCAATGCTTGGATGACGCTGGGTTTGGGGAGCAAACAATTAAATCTTAGCAGTTAAGTGGTTGGATTTCAACCACTAAACCACAATAAGCAAAAATGGGAAAAACAAATTCCCAACAACGACCATGAACACGCCGGAAGTCGGCCAAAAACCCCGCCTGAACTGCTCGATCTCCCCATCCGACAGCTTCTGCAAGTTGGCCATCAGGGCCGACACGGCGCTCAGGAGCGAGGAGAAGATCCTCATCGCGGTGAGAGCGAGCTGTTTGGCGCCGTGTCTCTCTGGTTTTTGGGGTACCCCTTTGCTTCAACGTGCATAGTACCTAGGTCCTTCAGTAGAGAGGTTTGAATAAGGGTACCCGTTGCTTTTCTTCCTGTAGTCTATTTTAGTAGGGGAAGCCTCCCCCAAAAAAGTTGGTAAAAGGGCACTACTGGGGGACCTAGCCTTTACTTCAACGAGCATTGCACTTAGTAAGCGGTTCTAAGCCACTTGCCATGGTTACAAGTCTCCCAAGTAGGTTATCGCCACGTGCGTGGCTCAAAAACTACATATATCTCCCCGTGGCTCGTTTGCACAATTCGCTGAGAAGGATCCCTGAATTGGGAGAGGGCTGGCGCCCGTTTGGATAAATATACGGCCCTGGCATGGAATAAAACAAATCCAAACCGGTGGAACCCAACGATTGCCAACCAAACTAATCTAAAAACTTGGCTGACGTTGGAAGGGGAGCAAACATTCATTTTTTAGCAGTTAAGTGGTTGGATTTCAACCACTAAACCACAATACGGAAAAACATGTTTCCCAACAACAACCATGAAAAGGGCACCTAACTCTAGGTGACCAAGTGGATGCCAGTTTCCATGCCCTACTAAAGGTACCCAACTGTGGATGGTCCCTTGTTCACCAACGTAAATACCAACAAACAATGGCTTCAACCATGGTTTCAAAGTGGTGCGAAATGGGTTTCGTCCATCGACAGTATAGTTGGTACTAACCTGGCAAACACAATCCCTGCAGTCGACATGTCGGACAGTTTTAGCTCCAAGGACTTGGACAACGTTGGACCCGGACTAACTCAGATCAAGGCACCCGGAAATAGAAGGTGGACCTAAAAACTTGGTTGACGTTGTTGTTGTTTTTTGGGAGCAAACATCTTCCAATCTTAGCAGTCAAGTGGTTTGGATTTCAACCACTAAACCACAATAAGCAAAAATGGGAAACATGTTTCCCAACAACAGCCATGTTTTGGGGCCATGACTTCCTCAAGCGGCGAATCCGGATGACACCGCAGGCCAGCGACATTCCGTCAGAAGGCCTAGAGCCAGACACTACAGATGAGTGCACACCATAAAACGAGAACGCCCAATCCTTGGGCTGCAATCCTTGCCTGGCACGCAATGCACAGGCCTACAAAGAGAAGACCAGAAATGGTCACACACTATGCCGGGCGCTCCAGAAGAAGCGCCAGCGACAACAGGATCAAAAATTGCACATATTCGCACTACCCGAAGTGAGCCATGCTGAGAAACCCACCGCACAAAGACATCGAGGGACACCACCTCCAACCCCGGCTCAAAAAACCCGGCCCTCTGCCGATGCAAAGCAGACAACTAAGCGCTGTTCCAGAAAAGGAAGACCTCGCCTGCATGTGGGAATAAGGAGAGGTCCACGCTGTCCATCCAGCGGTTTCAGCAACGCAACCACCACGGAGAGTGGACCACTTGACTCAAGCGTCTGAGAAACGAACATTCGCACTGCCATCCACAAACATGCCAAAATGGGACACCCCAAGGGAGAGAGAGTCCCATCTGTAAGTAGCAGGGCAGACCTCCATCACAAAATTCACACAACACTTGCAAGGGCTTAGCTGTGGTAGCACCGTCCTCGGGAAGTCCGAGGATCA